CTTGGAAATGTCTGTGGAATTGCCAGGGTCTGGGGGTGTGTTGGAATCCTTGCAGGTCTCCCTGCATCTGGGCTTTTGTCAAGCCAGTCCTCAGTCCCATTGCTCTGTTCACCTTGCAGGGCAGCGGTGTCTTAATGGCACACAAGTCTCCAGGGCCTCTGCTGTAGGGGCTGGGGCTGCAGGGAGTGCCAGAAGGGCTGCAAGTCTTCCAATTGTGCAGGCTACCAGTCCCCCTCTGCACCTCCAGGACCCCATGTGCCCACTCTGAGCAGTCTTTCCCCTTAGTTTGAGTTCCACTCACTGAGCTAAATTGTCTCTCGTTAAGTCCAGGGGTTTAGCAGGCAGATTAGCAGCATGCCTCCCATCTGAGGTAGTTCCTAGAGCATGGGTGCTCCTGGATCGGAGCTCCCCTATCGAAGATCCTCAATTGCAGAGTCTCCCTCAGTTATCTTCCTTCTAGTGTGTCCAGGGTGCTCTCATTTGGGTTGAAACTCATAGTATATAAGTCTATGGTCTGTTTTTAGTCTTATATTCCTGTGTGAGCTTGGACGTAGTGAGTTCAGTGTCTTTCCCCTGCCACCATCTTGCTGGAACTTAATTTTAATTTTATTGGACAACTTGTAGGGTAAATGGAAGTTAACAGATTCCCTCCCCCTGCCCCCGTCATTAACATCAATGAAGACACATGTGGGTTTTCATGTGTGCCTGAGGACGGCACCTGGAGCTGGTGTGGGTGTGCGTGAGTGGGCGGCCCTTGAGCCCAGAGATGGAATACATAAAAACAGGGAGGCAGAGTGTAACAAGTGGTCCTCAGGAAAAGGGGAGGTTCCAGGTTCCCTAACCCACCCAAAGGAGGGTGGAACTGAGCAGGAAAGGGAGGAGATTGAGAAGGAAGGACGCAGGATGTAAGCCAGGAGACCTAAACGAGGCACATGGAGCAGAGAGACATGTGAAGAAGTGGATCTTGTTTCTTGGTCCTGGACTGGTTGAAACAGATGTGGGTGAGAGACCTGAGGGGAGGTAACTATGGCAGCGTTTATCTTTATTTTGATTTTGCTCATTTCTTCCCAGACTTGTCTGGACATTTCTGACCCTTTCCATGGGTCCCCACTGTAAGATGCTTTAAGCTTGTTGCAGGCTTTCAGATCTTACTTTGGGCCAATCCCATGAGGGGGGATGGGTAACTTCGGGTGTTTGATTTGGAAACTATATTCTTTCTCTTTTCTCTATTGCACACTAATTGTATTACCCTTTCCATTAATGGCCTTATATGTTTTGTCTTGATGTGGCAGATGGTTGAACCCACTTAGAGTGGGCAGGTTTTGGGGTTCAGGGGTGCCCCTCTCCCAGCCCTGTAACAAGAGGACCATGCAGTAGGCAGAGTGCAGTGCAGAGAGTCACAGATTGGCTTAGAGATGAAAGAGCAGGTGTAAGGATTCACAAGAGGGCTAAGGTTGCTTGCTGGCTTGTTTCTCCTGACCTTTGGGATGATGCTCAGGGCTCCAAGATTCTTTCAGGCTGTCTGAACCAATGATGAACTTACCTGACCTGGGATGGTTGCAGAACACACTGTATATCCTTGTTGTCCCCAGAAAGGTGACTAATTCTCTACTGATTTTTACAAAGGGAAATAGGCAGAACAGCATGACTCACAATTACAATCTTCCTTTATTCTTCAGGTGAAAAAATTGACTTGTGTGTGTGACTTAATAAAACATTTAATTGAGAAGTCTTATTAACTGAATGCATTGAAGTGAAATGTCCCTGAATAATAAGACCACTTATTGGGTAAATCATAAGATCATAGAGCTGTAAATCTGAGTTATCTCATCCTAATGAAGTTTTCATAATTTTCTTTCATTCATTGCTATAGTTGTTTATCAATTCAGCATTGTGACTATGTACACACACATATAAAGTTATATATTTCAATGAATAAATGAAATTAGAAATTAAGGAAATTTAAATTATTTTAATCAGATGAGGGAACTTTGGGGGTTATTTTAAAATTATGATTATGATAATATTAAAGCAATTTTCAAGAAAAAAATATCAAGAGTAGACAAGGTGGACAAGTAGACAGTTGGATTTGTGATTATGATCAAAAAGGAGACCATCTGATTAGGCCGGATTATTCTTGGTTGATTTTTTTTTTTTAAAAATTATTTATTTATGCTTACAAATCTGCGGTACAGGCCAGAGGTGTGGTGGGTGAGAGGATTCACCAGAGACAGAGTGGGGAACAGAACAGGCAGATGTGCTGAAACACACTGCTGAGGGGAGCAGCAGGCAGGACAGGAGAGGTCTGTCACACTTGTGGTTCAGCTCCCTGGCTAGAGATCAAACTCCTGCTGTAGTGGCTTCAGAGAGTTTCATAATGTGGTGCTTTAACCTGCTGTGCCACCAGGGAGAGCCTATTTCTGGTTGATTTTTAAAGATAATTTTTATGGCATCTGTTTGATAAAAATGAGACAAAAGTTTACCTATGAAGAGGAGATAGAAATGCAACCTCTCTCCCCACACTCCAAAACAAACCATATCTTGGTTTCTCACTGCTGTGATATCCTTAGTTCTCTTAACAAATATTCTATCTTTGAGAGGCTAGATTTGTGGTTGAGATGTGAGCCTTAGCTAGACATTCATTTTAAGGGCTTTTTCTGTGATATTGTCCCATATTATTGTCATTGTTTGTGTCACTTTCCGTTTGACTACGTACCCCTTGAGGGATACGTCTTATTTGCCATTGTGACCAGTAATGGGAACAAAAAGGGGCAGCTATTTAAATTTTTATTGAGTTGAAGGCAATACTTAATACTGTGATACAACCACTACATTACTTATAATAAACTTATTATGTGTGTTTTCTTCTTGGAATTATCTTCAGAGAATAAATTCCTTCAGATTTTCTCCAGTGTAGTGAATATCTACCTGTTCATGCTTGAATTGATGTTTGGAGGTAGTCAGGTTATTTGAAACTATATTTGCGTGAACAAACTAGTGGCTTCTGCTGGAAAAGATAATTTTGTAGATTTAAATGAGGCATGTAAAAATATATTTGTGCTTTTATTGGATGTATTATAGACCTGGAAGAGAGTGTCAAAAGAACTAGTCCAGAAGTGTTTTGATCAGTGGTTGCATATTGAAATTATGAGATTGTCTCCCAAGGGAATAGCATTGACCTACTCAATTTGTAAGGACTTAGGTGTCTCAATAGTCTTACATTTGGTTATTCCAGTTGTGATACCTCTCTCCTTAAACTTTTAAGCATGGTTTCAGGACTTATTTTCTGTGCTTCTATTTATTCTCTCACTTATTTTCAGTGATTCTCATTAGCAGTAGAATAAATTCCAATGCTTTAGCATGGCAAATCAACATGACCACCATTTATTCAGTCTCATATATATATTTTCGAACTTAAGCCTATTTTCCTCTCCATGTAACCTGCACATTAGCCATATTGAGCCAATCATTAGTTTCCACTGTTCTTTCCACATTATGAAACAATATTCTAATCCATGTCATAACATAAGAGTCTCCCTTTCTCTTTACAGTCCCAATAGCTTGAACTCTGCCCTTATTCTTGCTTACTGTAAGTCTCATGTCCCTTGTAATTTCTACTTTGCTTATACCATTATATATAGCTCCTGGGTCAGCTTTAACTCAAGCAATTACTTTGTTGTGTCAGACTTCTAAACCCTACCTTACATATAGTTTTATATGCCCTATCTCACTCTCAGCAAATCTTTCTGGGCCTTGATGCCATGCCTGTCAGCACAGTGCCTTGCATAAAAGTAGAAATTTAATATTTATTGCCATTATGAGCATACAGGGACATATATTTATATATATAAACCAACTGTAACAAGTGATGATTTGGGCATTTAAAACAATAAACACTATGATATTGCCTTATCTTTATTTTTAAGATTTATTTTTATTTACACAGACAAGATCTGGTATGTGGGCCAGAAGTGCAGGGGGTTAGGGGGACAAGAGAATTCACCAGAGACAAAATGGGGAACAGAACAGGCATATCCATTGAAATAAACTGCTGAAAGGAGCAGTGGGTGGGACAGGAGAGGTCTGCTGTACCTTGTGCGTCAGCCTCCTGGATGGGGAATTAACTCATGCCACAATGGCTGGCCCTAGCTTGATAGCACTAATATTTTAACCCCTGTGTCATCAGGGAGGCTGTGATCATCTTGTATTTCTTTAAATATTTGCAATTGGAAATTTTTACTCATAAAATGTCTAATATTGTGCATATGATTCAGTAGTTCAAATTATAGCGAAAATTATTATAGCCCCATGAGTGATTGGGAAACTCAAGAAATAGTGTTCCAAGTAATTTTTGGTTAACTTGGGGTTAGGCAGAAAATCTTTCTTGTTCTACTTATTATTGATAAATATTTCTAAATTATGCCAACTTCTGATCTTAGGTTGAGAACATTATTAATCTATTCTTTGACAAAAGAGGATATTATAATTCCTTTGCTAATTATTACATTTCTTAATTCTCATTTTGTTACCATTCATGTAAAATTAAAGATTTTTGAGTTTGGATTCTTTTGTAAAGTGTTTTCTGTTTTACTCTATTTACACGGGGATATTATTTTTTAGGTGGAAACAAACACCTGGTATATACTTTTATAAAGCATATGAAGAGTCAGAATATGTGCTTTGTGTTATTGAATGCATTTTTTTTAAAAAAATGAATATTTTAATAAATATGTTGAAATGTTGGTTCCATGAGATGATTTTATTTTGTATATAAATATTGTATGACTTTTCAGGTATTTGGAATGCATATTTTTTTGTTTAGTCTTTGATTTGGTCTTTTCCTTCATAAAGACTATTAAAGGTTTTTTTTTCTGGTTTATATGTAGTTTATAATTTATAGTTTAATTTTTTTAACTTTGGCATAATTCTTTTGTCTTTGTTCTTTTTTCAGAAGTTTTCACAAATTGCAATAATTTTTAGAACATATTAAGGCAATAACAATGAACACAAAAGATTTTGTAGTTCTTCCATGGGGGAAACCTGGAAATTCTATAAAACTAAGATATAAGTAAGTATATATTTATTACTCAAATACAACTAATTGCTAAAGCTTCTATGTATTGTAATTTAAGCTATTACTTTTACATGAGGATATTTAGAGTTGAACTCAAAATTTTTGAACTTATATCTTTATGTTCTTCATATTTCTGTATTTTTACCTATGTGGAAGTTTGAAATATTATAAATATATAGTAAAATAGGGACTGAAAATGTGCCATAAGAATTAATATGTTGTAAATGTAGGTTAGGCTCATTAACTATTTAAACATAGAACAGAAAGTTGAAAATAGTTTTGTGATACATTAAAAAAAACAAAAATCACCCTGAAGAAACAAAGAGGAATCTATATGAAATAGGAAGTACTAAATATTCTAGCACTTTACATAGTTAACAGATAGCATTTTTAAGCTTGCCTTCTACAGAAAGTGACCTTCTGTGCCTGTGACTTTCATTCAGCCAGAGCCAAGCCATTGTGGGTATCCTGAGAATTTCATGATTTAGCTGGTTACCAAAGATTCAATATATTGCTTTCCTATGAGATCATCTTAAAGTAGCTGAAACTTTCCAAGGTCTTCCTCTCAAATATGACAAAGCACCAGCCAGTATAGGCTGGAGACAGACTGTTGCTTTTTAATTTTAGTTTCTGAGTTTCCTGATTGAGATCAATAGTCCTGCGGTTTTTCAGTGTCTTCAGATCTTTCCTAAATCTTCTTTTCCTTTTGAGATACTGTGTGTAAAAGCATTATGTCAACTGGAAGATATTATACAAATATGTGGCATTATCATTATTAGGTTTACCACCTTTTGATGGAAAAGGGAGCTATACAATTACTAGTATTACAAGTTTTCCTTTTTTTAATGAAAAAAAAAAGTAGGGTATATGCATTATTTTATTTTGGTGATGTATTTCAAGTCTTTGTGCATACAACTATAAGCATTCACCCAAAAAAATTTATTCAGGACATGTGTTATGGAACAGTGGACACAAAAATTAGGAAGCCAGAGTCTGGAACCTCAAGTAGTTTGTAAAGATGTGAGTAACTAACATTAAAATTATAAATGTAATTCACAATATCACAAGACATGGTGTGATGTGTAAGCGTCTTTGACATTCAAGTAGACCCCAAATTTGAGGAAGTCTCCAAATTAACTTGAGAAGTGAAATTTGATAGTAATTCAGTGAAACTTGTGCAGAGATGCAGATTACTTTCAGGTATATTCAGTTGGCTAAGATTTATAGAGCAAAGGTGGAATGTACAGGCTTTTATATATAATAAGCTAAATGTTATGCCACACTAAAGAGGGAATGAATTATCTTGGAAACGAGATGGAATCACTGTTCTTTTGCTTGTATATTTACCTTGTTTCCCCATAAGTCACAATCAAAAAGAAAAAAACTAGGCTGGGAACAACCACTGTATGGTAATTGCTTTGGAATTTCCTTTCTTGCCCTTGCCTTATTCCAAACCTATTTGCATTTGGTTGTCTTTAATATCTTAATGTTCTCTGATTCTTCTCTACTTTCTTAGCCTCCAACTATTTCAGTGGTTTGTTTCTGACCTTTAGATTTGTTGTGTTGATGTAGTCTCAGCAGATGCAAACTAGCTTTCCTCTGTGGAATTACCCACCTCTGACTCTGGGTCAAAGCTGTCCCCAGGGGAAATCCTTTCTCTTGTTCTAGACCCATACATTCCTCCATAATCTGGGCCCTTTGTGAATGGGACAATCTGCTTTTTAGTTTCACCCCTTTCTTCTAACAAAATAAGGACATCAGAAACATTAACAGTCTAAGCAAATCCGTGATGCAATCATATTTACAGTTTTGAACTCTTCCTCTGGAGACCAGGCAGAAAGTATTGCTGGCTCTTGAGATTTTGTGCAGTGAGAACAGCTCAAGGACTGACATGGAGCTCTGTGTTCAGTCAGGAATTAGTATCATATACTTATTGTTTAAGAAAGAAATCTGAGGCCCTCCCTGGTGGCGCAGCAGGTTAAAGCACAGCACAAAGAAGCTTAAGCCACTTTCGCATGAGTTCGATCCCCGCCTGCCCTGGAGCAGATCCACATGGCGAAGCAGACCTCTCCTGACCTGCCCGCTGCTCCCCTCAGCAGTGGACTTCGTCGATCTGCCTATTCTGTACCCCACTCTGTCTGTGGTGAATCCTCTCACCCTCCGCATCTCTGGCCTGTCCCCCAGTTCTGTACGAACAAATAAATCTTTAAAAAAAAAATAAAAAAATAAAAAATAAATAAAAAAGAAAGAAATCTGAGATGGTCTTATTCCTTCTTTGTTTCTTCCTTCATCATCACCTAGCTCTGACCAGTTTCTAAGCTCAGTGAATTTTATTTCCTAAATGCTCCATTTCTTCTTTCTACCATTTCTAACCAGTCAGACCAACATAATCTCTCTATTATTAGTATTCCTGAAATAGTGTCCAAACCGATTGCTTTCTTTTAAGTCTGGCACCATCTAATCTTCTGTTATAGTATATTTCTAAATTGCAAGTCTGATCATTTTTCTTATAACATTTTAACAATTCTCATTGCTCATCAAATACAAATCTCAATTCTTTGTGACCTACACAGCTAGTGCTGGTTTGGTTACTCTCCGCTTTGGTGGCTACATTTTTTGCCACTTTTCTCCTCCTGCATTTAATGCCTGATCATGTGGAACTTGTAATTTCTTGACCTACACAGCATTCTCTTCTACTTGTGCCCATACACCACCTCCTTTGACTAGCTAAATCTTTTTATTCTTAAATGTCAGCTCAGACTTTCCTTTCTCTAGTCACTCTTCCTACAGTCCCTTGGTCTCAGCTCTATGTGTTCAGGTATTTTTCCAGTGAGGGCATCGTTTCACTGTATTTCAGTTACCTTCATATTTCTTTGTTCTTCTATGTGCTGGAAGTGCCAATGTGTCTCACATTCTAACATCTTTTACAGTGCTTATAAGAAGCAGTGGCAGAATTATTTCTTAAAATGAATACAGTGAAAGAAATGCCTATCCCTCAATATCTTTGCTAGCATCTCTAAGCCCTCTTGAGAGCCTTGGCTTCTTATCCATTCCAGATACATTCCTAAATTGTATGTTCTTGGAGACTTATGTTCTGGTGACTATTTACCACTGTTCACATGAATTGCTATTTCTGATGTTCATTATTTTTAATATAACAGCTTGCCACAGGTGTTCATGCTACCTAATTATAGTAAAGCATCAATATAACAAAGATTAAACTTATGATAGATAATACATGATAGAGAACAAGGTTGGCTTAGACCTGGGGAGTAGTGGGGGTGGAAAACAGTGACTAAAGTTGACAAGAGAGCAAAATTGTAAAATGCAGATGTCAAAAGCTTGATAAACTTCAGATACTATCAAAATCTTTTGCACAAAAGGGCTCTGCTTTGTCCTCAAAAAGTTCTTTCTTATACCAAAGACCTGAATAGGTACTTTCTTCCTAATAGGCCCCAAGCAGGCTTTGCTTTGCTTTTTTTTGTATTATACATACATGGCCTGAAGGTCAAAATTTATTGAAGTTTTCCAAAATGATCATTTCAATGAAAATATGAATTCTGCTGATACTGAAAAAGACACTTACTTTAACATTACTTTTAAAAAGTAACTGAATCCTTTAGAAGGATAGTATACAAATTAGAAATGTTTATTTTGTTTTCTATTTGTATGTCATAGATACCTGTGCATATATAACATAACATAATAAAGTGAGTTGTTTTAACTATCAAGCATAGTAATAGGAAGCAAAAGTCTAAGATGTACAGAGTTACTTTGCCTTAATAGAAGGAAAATGCTAATTTTAGAGGTCATATTTTAATGAAGAACAAAGGAAGTATGTAAAATCGCTCACTCATTCTTTTAACCATGTGTATTTGCTTACCCTGGATGAACAATCTGTGTTTAAATCTGATTTCTTCAGAAATGCTCAAGAACTAAGAATGGAAAAAGTCCAATTAGAGTTGGAGAACCAAGAGTTGGAAAAGAAACTACAAGAATTCCAATCAACAAGGAACAAAGAAAAAGAAGAAAGACAGTGGGTGACATTTTTAGATGACTTTAGGAGAATAAACTAAAATATATAAAGGGCTGTAAGACTGGTCCTGAATGAATAACTTAGTCTCTCTCCTGGAGAATAAGCAATATTAATCCTACTTTTTCTTTTCTGTGTCTTTTTTATAAAGCATGTTGCTTTTTGAAATATTGTTAGACTTGTTACCTCTAAACTATATTTGGACATATACTTTTTTATTTTTTTAAAACATTTATTGTCTGGAAGTTTTAGGGCAACAATACAGAATTTGTCTTTTATGCTCATAAAATTGACAATTGATTTTAGTTTTTATTCATTAAAAACTAGCCATATATGAGGCATAGAATAGTGTAAATGATCACATTTTAGCTCTATTAAAAGTCCTAGTCCATTTCCTATCACTGCCTCTAACAATTAAATTTTTTCCTCCAAATAGTGTGTCATTGTATAAACCATGTGTATATATGTGTGTATGTTTATGCACACACACACACATAATATCTATATAGTGGTATATATATGTGTGTGTTTATCGGATATATTTTTATAAGTGAGGTCACCTATAAAAATATATGATTTGATCTCACTGCACTTTTCTACTTGATACATCTCAGAGTTCTTTTTATATCAGCATACATTGATCTCAGCCTTTTAGTGGTGATATGGTATTTCTTTGTGGGATATAATGGTATTTATTTTGTAAATATTAAGTTTTTAGTATTTTATATGTTATTCATTGCTGCATGAATATACTTCTCTCTAAATACATTTATACAAACATTTGTGTATGTACACATACACACTCTTAAATGTTGCAAGATAATCTGGGGAATAAATTTCTACCTGTGTAATATTAGGTCAAAGTACATGTGCATTTTATATTTTGGTAAATATTGGAAATATTGTATTCCTAATAACTTTAAGAGTTTATATACCTTCTCTTATGGAGAATGAGAGTGCATGTTTCATGTGTTTTTAGTGACACTAAATAATACCAGAACCTTTGCATATTTTGTTTGGTCTCAAAGTGATCATCAAGCACCTATTAAGTATCTTCTGGAACATGAAAGTAAACTCAAATGTTTATTATAGTTTCAGTGGCTATTGTTTGAAACTATGCAAGACTCACACACACACTTGTGATTGGTTCAAAGTGTTTCAGAGATATGCATGTTCTGGGAGGCAAAGTTTATTGTATATCTTGCCGCTTTTAGTGAATCAGTGATCAGTTTTTATTTTTGTTTTAACCTTCATTATTCTGGGTGTAGTTTGTAAGTCTCAGTGAATTGTGAGGACATTTTGGAGTCAGGCTTCATAAAGTCAATTTCTAAGAGTGAATTTTCCTTAAATGAGGGAACTTCACTAGATGTTTTTAAGAAATATTATAAAGTTTGAATTTTTAGAGCAAATGATTTTCTAAATTCATATAGATATTTTATGTCATGGAATGAGAAACTACTACTCCCTATCAGAGAGAAATCGAGTTTTCTAATCTTGACTTTGTTATTTCTTATCTGTGTGACTTTGAGCAAAATTTGGTCTCATTATTATTTTTTTTTTTAATAGGAATTGAACTCCCTGCCCTAAAAAAAAAAAAAAAAAAAAATGGTGCTTTGAGAACTGTAAAACCAAAGAGTTTGCATTCTTTGCAACCTCTGTACCTTCAATGCTGTGGGGTTACTCTAAAGATTTTTTTTAGAGATTTATTTATGAATGCATGTAAGAGCTGGGGTGCAGGCCAGGGCTGGTGGGTAACAGGATTCTCACCTGAGATAGTGGGCAGCAGAACAGGCAGATCTGCTAAAATACTGCTGAGGGAAGCAGCAGGCAAGGTAGGTGAACTCCTTCTGCACCATATGGGACAGCTCCTTCCCTAGGAATTAAACCTGAGCTGCAGACAGCTTCATATGTTGCAATTTAACCATCAGGGAGGTCCATACTTTAAGGTTTTACTAAGGATTTCATCACTTATTAAATCTGCTTATCATTGTTGGTTTTTATTTCTTCATCGTTCTCTTTATATTAGCAGACCATTATCTTATAAAACTGCATGAGAACCATTACTAAAAAATGAATCAGTAAAGCTGTCTTATGTCTTTGTTCATGTCTGTGCATTGAAGGTCTTCATCTGTGTTTGGGCATTTCACTTTTACTTGTTTTGTTCCAAAAGAGCTATATTTTATAATTACTGAGGGTATTATGACATTATTGATATTTTATTTTCATTTTGTGGTAGCCTGTTAAATATTAGCTACTTAATTTCTATTTGCTGAAGCAGGGAAAATATATTTGTTTTCATTAAAAGGAGAGATGCATTTAGTAATTACATTTCTTCTTCTATTTATATATTGAAGGTCAAGTGGGTATCACTGGAAATCTGGACAAGTGGGGAAATTGGGTACTCCATCACACATGATGCTGCAAAATAAAGGGAATGTTATTAAGGTAAGAAAACAACATTTGTTTGCCAGTAATTTGTTAAGCAAGAATAAATACATTACTTTTTCAGATTTTTGCATTCCCCTTTGTACTTCAGACCTTACTATTCTTGTTTTAATAACTTGTATATTATTAAATTCTGATTAATTTTATGTGTTAATATGTCACTTTTATTCAGATATATTTTTGTAGTTTTACCTGCAAGTGGGTTTTTAATAATTCACCTACTGTTGAATTTTTAAAAGCACATTTTTTTTTTCATTTAGTTCAGTTTAGTTTCAAATATATCAAGTAGAATTTCTATGTTAAGGTGAATATTTTATTTGATGTATCAAATGATTGTCTTTTTCTCCCTTTTCATTGAATCACATTTGTTTAATGTGTTTACATTTTACTTTAATAAGTATCATTCATATAAGTATATTCCATGTGCAAATATATTTGGGGGGAGTAACCAACCAAGCTTAAGTACTATAGAGCTGCTTTATTGCATGGTATATTGTAAATATAGCGTTACTTTATATTTAAGATTAAACTGTTTGCTTTTGGAATCTTTTGTACAAGAGTCGTGGCTTTGTAAGTTTTAACTTATATAGTATTTTTTTATATATCTATCATTAAATTTTTATTAGCCCAGTTTGCATCTGCAAATATCTTTCACTGTATTTTTAACTCTTTTGGATTAAAAAACAGACAATTATTTTTGAGAATTATTCTCATACTAAGATATGTTTCTTTAATTTTTAGATTAAAATTTTTACAATCCTCTTTCTAGTTTTCATTATCTTTGTAAATAATTTCCATGTTATAGGCATTATTGTAAACACATTAAAAATTCTCACTGTGATTATTGACTTGTATGTTTAATAACGCTTATTATATACTTTCTTGTTTTATAATCAGTTATCTTGTTTTCAAGATCTTCATCTAATATGAAAGATGATAGACACAGGAAACAATGTATAAGAAAAGATAGTGTGGCTTTGATTTCAAACGTGCTTCCTCTTATCAGAGTAGAGAGACTATAATTGTGACTGAAACTGAATGCAACAGCCATAATGTGAATTTCCAAAGTGAAAGTGATTCTTACCAAAGTCTGGCAGGTATAGGATTATATGCATGGAACCCATAAACATTTCAAATTGTCTTAAATTCAGAGCCCATAGTTCTATCACTTTTCACAAATGAATGATCAAATCTGCCTTTTAATTTTGACTTACATGAGGCCTCTTTGTAGAAAGATTTTTTTCCCTTGTCTTTCACATTGCTTTTATCAGCATCTTCACAGACAAGCAAATGGTTGCTTTAAAAAACAACAACAATAACAACAATAAACTATATACACTTTTTTTTCACAATGATTGATTGCTCCCCTCAGGTGTACTCCACCTGAAATTCCCACTACCATATCACCTGTAAACCACCATCATGGGCTTTCATGCTCTTCCCTCTCCTGATTTGGCTTCTCTTCCTTTCCTTATCCCTTTCGCGCTGTGTGTCAGGTTTATAGTTTGTCTGCTAGTCTTTATTGTTTCTTTCTGACCCTCTGTTCAGTTATCTGTATTCCTCCTGTAAGTGAAGCCATCTGTTATTTTTCTTTTTCGTTCTGACTCATTTCACTGAGCATAATTGATAAGTTGCTTTGTCTCAGTTGCCCCACTGTTCCACCAGTCAGGGTCATTACAATATCAATACACATGACATCTTTAACAGTCACAGTTAAGATAACTCCGTTATCAATAGATATAATGTTATATCAATAGATATAACAATTTTTCTGTCCCTGAATATGAAGATTTTTTTTATTTGACTTTTTTTTTTTTTAAGATTTATTTATTTGTACATACAGAACTGGGGTACAAGCCAGAGGCTCAGGGGCAGTGAGAGGCTTCACCAGAGACAGAGCGGGGAGCAGAACAGGCAGATCGACGAAGCACATTGCTGAGGGGAGCAGCGGGCTGGTCAGGAGAGGTCTGCCGCGCCATGTGGGCATCTCCAGGGCAGGCGGGGATCGAACTCATGCGGAAGTGGCTTTAGCTTTTCAGTGCTGTGCTTTAACCCGCTGCGCCACCAGGGAGGGCCCTTATTTGACTTTTTAATTGTATTGTCTTTTCTTGAGATAACATTTGAATACCAAACTGATTGTGATTTAGGTGTACAAATTCCCAACATTGCCCTTTAGAATCCCTTGTCTTTTTATTCCTTTCCCCCCATACTTGCCCTCTGGCAAGCTAAATTCTACAGTCAATTATTTAAAAAATATATTTATTTATTCACACAGAACTGGGATACAGGCCAGAGGTGCAGGACTGGTGAGAGGACTCACCCAAGACAGAGTGGGTAGCAGAGCAGGCTAATTGACAAAGTACACTACTGAGGGGAGCAGCAGGCAGGACAGGAGAGAACTACTGGGCCATCTGGGTCACCTCCAGGGTAGGTGTTCAAGTGGCTGTGGCTGCTACTTTCTCAGTGTTGTGCGTTAACCTGTTGAGCCACCAGGGAGGGCCCCTATAGTCAGATTTTTAAGATTTGCTTTTGGTTTAGATTTTTCTGACCTTTTACTTACTTTCTTTATATTCCACATGATTGGACTCGAACTGAATAGTATTCCATTGTTTATAATACATCTTTCTAGTCCACTCATCTGTCCTTGAGCAGGTGTTTTCCATAACTTGGCTACTGTGTATGTTACTGCAATGAACACAGGAGTGGATATTTATTTCCCTTTAGATCAGTGTTTTGTATTTGTCAGATATCTGTCTGGGGATGCTGAGTTGTATGGTAGATCTATATTTAGTTACTTTAAGAAATCCCCCTACTGTTTTCCAGTGGATCTAGACCAAAATATAGTCATAAAGTAGTTGAGGGTTACTTTTCTAACACGTGTTTCTGTTTACTTTTTGTTCATTTTTGATATAAGCCTTTTTCATGGGTTGCACCATGTCAGTAAAGAAGACTATGTTAGTTTACTAATATATTGATTGCATTGTAATTTTCATTAATATTGAAATTAACCAAGGGTGATATACATACAAATAAATATATTTTTTCCCCTACTTTCATATTTTCTTTAGTCCTTTGAAGTTTGTATATATGCTATTTTGGAGCCCATTTGGTGGACAGAGTATTTGGTAGTTCATTAAAATAATCTAGATCTCAGGCCCTCCTTGGTGGCTCAGCGGGTTGAAGTACAGCACTGAGAAGCTTAATCCACTTCTGCATGAGTACTATTCCCGCCTGCCCCCGAGGTGACCACATGGCATGACAGACCTCTCCTGACCTGCCCACTGCTCCCCTCAGCAGTGTACTTTGTTGATCTGCCTGTTCTGCTCCCTGCTCTCTCTCTGGTGAATCCTCTCACCCTCCACACCTCTTGCCTGTACCCCAGTTCTATATGAATAAATAAATAAATCTTAAAAAAATCTAGATCTCATTTAAGAAGAATCTGAATTTGAATATAAAAAGAACCGTTAATGAAAATATGGTTCAATAAATAGTGACAAAGGAAAAAAAGAGATGAAATATAAGGTATAACATTTCGTGTTGGATTTACTAAGAGATGAAATAAAGAAGGAATTTGTAGAAAGATTGGCATGATATTAAGTCTTTCATTTTCCCCTACTCTACCCTTCATCCCTCTCTTTTATATTTTCTTTCCCCAGATTTATTAAGGTATAGTTGATAAAAGTGAAATAAGGTGATCTATGTTTACATTGTGAAATGATCCTCCTCCTCAAGTTAATTAGGAAATCAATTTACCATAATTACTACTTATTTTTGTTTGTTTTGGTGAGTACCTTTAAGTTAGATTCTCAGCAAATATCAGAGATGAAGAGTTTTGTTTTCTCATGTGTTATTCGAAACAGAGAGAGTAAATGTACTTCCTGAGAATTTAGAAAAATAGAAGAAAGGTATGAACTGTAAAGTTCAAGGACATGCAGGTATGAAGTATAAAGCTCCAGGTATGTGGTGGCAGAGAGAACTTTAATATATACTTAGCATCTCTTTTATAACAGTCATCATTTATACTAGTCAACAGTTTAGCAATTTCTCCCATTTTATCTCACTAAGTGTCCATATCACTTAAGGCAGTTGTTATTTTTCCAGCTGCACAGTTGAAATCATTTAACATCAAAGGTGTTAAATAGCTCACTCAAGGTGAAGCATCACAACTAACATTTGGAATGCAGGCTTTCAGACTGCTTCCCTGATCATTTGTGAAATCTTCAGTAAAGGGAGAGAAGGTAAAAAGTGGTAGGAGTAGAAATGCCATTGTATAATTCCATAGACTACAAATGTAAAGACAAGTGTTTTTAGAAAATATGAAGTCAGCATTGTCCAATATATTGTGATAAGGAAAAAAAAAAAACTGTATAGATTTTGCCTTGTGTTTCAAAACTGGGGGAAATTTCATCCTGCCAGGAGACAATTGGCAATGTCTGGAAGCATTTTTGTCCTCACCACTGATGAGGTGGTTTTGTTCCAGTGCTCTGTGATGGCTAGAGGCTAGGGTTGCTGCTATATCTGTTGGAATGCACTTGATAGTGCCCACACACACAAAAATATTTGTCCTAAAATATTGTACCTTAAAATGGTACAAGAATTCTTCTGTTAGAGTACACAGATTAGCACGCCGGCTCACTTCGTTAGCTCTGGGATTTTGAGGCAACTCATTTAACCGGTTATCATAATTGTAAGCATGTGTGATTAATATTTGCCAACCACACAGAATTTTGAGCAATATGAGAGGTAGTATAGGTGAAACCAAAAATCTCAGTAAAAATGTCTATTTATGGAGAACTAAATTTTTTAAATCAATAGATTTGATCATTGTGTTTTTCTTTGATGTTAAAAAAAAAAAAATCAAGTGGTTGAAAAGAACTTCAAGTGGCAACAAGTGAGGACTAATGTTACCATTGGTGTGAGTGTTAGTAGCCAAGTGAAGGGCTTTCTAGTAGAAGATTAAAGATCAAATTAAAGGTTGTTGGGACTGTGGTCTTTGAAGTATGGCTCATGAAGGAGGCCTTATCTCAGGGGAAGACCTATGTTCTCTGAGACAGGAAAGATGAAAGAGAAAGCAGATGGAAGTCAAGTTCAATTCTTTTTTTTTTTTTTAATTTTTAAAAAAATTTATTTAGTTATTCATATAGAACTGGGGTACGGGCCAGAGATGCGGAGAGTGAGAGGCTTCACCAGAGCAGAGTGGGGAGCAGAACAGGCAGATCGACCAAGTACTGCTGAGGGGAGCAGCGGGCAGGTCAGAAGAGGTCTGCAGCGCCATATGGTCACCTCCGGGGCAGGCAGGGCTCGAACTCATGTGGAAGTGGCTTAAGCTTCTTAGTGCTGTCCTTTAACCCACTGTGCCACCAGGGAGGGCCTCAAGTTCAATTCTTAAAGGTTGCATTGAGGAAGTTTTAATGGGAAAACTTCAACATTCTTGGTAAAGTTGAAGGCTAGATCACCTGCCCAGATTCGTGGGGTAAATTTGAGCTTTTTGGAGTCATAATTGTCACTGTGACAATTACGATTGAGGTTCAGCAGCAAATGAATGAATGACATGGTTGAACAATCCTTAAGGAAACACTTGTGTTGTTCAGTGTAGATTTGTGGGGACCCAGTCAGCATTATGTCATCACAATGTAAGGTGACTATAAGAGGTCTAAGAGGAAGGAGGTGAGGTGATTGTGTGAGCATTGAAAAGTTCTAGTTTGAGATTTTGAAAGTGTAACCATTTGAAATGTCACTTAGGTTCAGGGTTTGGTCATAATGGGGTAGCTGAAGACTTAATTGGGTGTTCATGGCTAGCATGTTGGAGGGTTCTTATTATTAAGATGTCAGGTGAATATGGACATTGAAGTCTCCACCATTATCACCTACAAATGTGTTAGAGAAAGACTGAAAAGATTGCTGAAGTTCAGGTGGGAGAGTATCCTGGGATTGATAAAAGCAGTAAGTAGGTAGTGAGGAATTTCAGTAGAGACAACTTTGCTGAATGACTATAGCAGAAGAGTATCTGGAAGCAGGACTGAAGAGCACAGAGAGGGGAAAATCTTTCTTTTCTGGTGAGTGAAAGAGAGTAGTAGAAACAGCTAGTTCATCAGGAGAGTTCTATGAAGGAAGTAGTATCTGAGGAAAGGTAGCAGAGGGATTTTTATGAAAGGTTTCAGGCATAAGATAGCTAAAGAGAAGGACAAGGATTTAAGAATTGGAAAATGACGGGGGCCTTCCTGGTGGTACAAGGAGTTATAGCACAGCACTATGAAGCTATCAGCAGTTACTGTAGCATGATTTGATCCCTGGACAGGTAGCTAACCCACTTGGCACAGAAGATTTCTCCTATCTTTCCCACTGCTCTCTGCAGCAGTGAATTTCCATCCATCTGCCTGTTCTGCTCCCCACTCCATCTCTGGTGAATTCTCTTGTCCTCTGGACCTCTGACCTGTACCTCAGTTCTTGCATGCACAAATAAATAAATCTTAAGAAAAAAAAAAAAAGAATGCTGAAGTTAGAATTTAATTGGGCTCAGATGAAAACATTTGAAAAGCCTATGTGAGGTATTTAGGCCTGGTGTGACAGATTGTGGCTGCGGTGGGAGTTTGGGGAGAAGTCTATTTAAATACCAGAGGAGATGAAGATGTTAGCATAGTCTAAACATGGTGGCCAAATGACATGCCTGTATTTGGAACTGCTAAGTTGCTCTGGACCCTGATGGAGCCCCTTCGAAATCTATGGTGAGGGGTTAAGTGGGTTAATAAGGTGTAAGCTTCATCTTATAATTCTGGCGTTTTGTATCCCAATACATATGCATATACCTATATTCACATATAAAATAAGTGTATGCATTATAGTGCATATTAATCACCCAAACATATTCCATGCCCAATTCTTTCCCAAACAGATAAAAGTCAATCTATAGAGGAAATTCTGTTTGCCTAAATACAGCAGTATGGTGGCAGGAAGGCACAGAGCAGGCTCTCTATGGATCCGGGCAGACTGGCAAAGGAGAGTCCTGGAGTTCTCAGTGGCTTTTTCAGGCTTTTAATGATCTTTCTGTACCATATGTATTGGGGCAACCAGGTACAGGGCAAATAGAGGGGGCCGAAGGGCTTGGAGGTAAATTTTAACACACTCTGGTCTTTCTGGCATTTTCTTCTTCTAGTAGCCAGGCCCTGTCATCTTTCTGCAGTATCCTGTCACAAGGCCCCATGCCACCCAGATATGCATGGCGTCCAGGCTCAGGGGTGTCCATTTACACATGCCCACACCATGCCGCAGGTGTGTACCATCAGGCATGTTCACTCTGAGACCACACTCGGAAGCACCTCCTGCAACAAGGTTACCCATGACAGCCACAGAGGCCAGTGGCATGAAAACCTGAGCAATTTTCATTTACCCTACATGCAGTATCAGTTTGTTTACTGAAATATTTTTATTGAGTTTTAATCAGTTGCAGTAAAAAATGAATGTACTCAAAGAGCAGGAAAATATTATTTGCGGTAGTGAAAACAAATTATTAAATGTACCTAATTATGGGTTCTGTGTAAATTGGCATTTAAATCCATTCTTCCCAGGTAGCCTATAACCACAGTGCTGATGCTCAGTTAAGCTGGATCATTAACATAATAATGTGAAATAAGTTGGTTATGAAGAATGAGATTAAATTATCTCTTGCTTTATAACAGTACCAGTTTAAAAACAAGTCTGGTTCACATACAAATATATTATTTCAATCCTTTTCTGCTGTGTGTGGTACATAGCATCTGAGCAGCTACTTAAAGAATGAGCAGCAAATGCCTTTTTGCAGCAAAACCACAAGATTCACTGAGAAAAATAAAACCTATATTTTAGAGATGACTGCTGTAGACACAGAGGCAGCTACTGTTCCCCTACTCTAAGGATAAATTGGGCAATTGAGCATGGATATTGCAAATTGCAAACTAAGCACAAATTGATATTGTCTGTATAAATGTACAGCATTCTCCATGCTCATTTAGATACTTCAAATGCTGGTTTTTAATAAGAGGAAGGCAAGTATGTGCCATTAGAAACCTGTTTTATTTCTCATAATCTTAATATCCAAGACTGTTAAGTGATTATTGTGACTTTTATTTACTCAGTTTTATTTTTTTTTGGATATAACTTAAGAAATTCAGGGATTGCAAATAATATATTTGATAATTCAACATATTCAATAATATGATACTTAGACATGGTTGTCTAAATTGGGCAAATCAGATAATAATATTCACTTCTATGGTTATGTAAACAGTAGCTCAGTCAAAATTCAGTTTAGTTTTAGTCTACACAAATATTAGAGCAGAGAGCAAAGAATTACTATACATTTGCTATATTTAAATACTAGTATTTCCCTTAAATCATTTCATGGTGATATAATTTTTGTTTTATAAATAATTTATGGCATGATATAAAAATCTGCTTTACATATATATTTCTGCAATTTCTTTTGACTTCATGAGTTTTATTTTAAAACTATAAGGTTTACATACACTTTTTAATGATATCCTGTTAATTTTTTATTATTTCAAAATCAGCTTGTTTTGCTTAAGATGCATCAAAATGTTAATGACTTTCTAATATTTTTCTAGCAACTTAAACTTCCTTTGGATAAGATAATGTATATTTAATAATATCTTTCTTAATTTCATTACTACAGTTTTCCTCTGGAAAAGTGAAATTAAAGTTGTTAAAGCAGCAGCTTCAAGGTAAACTATTTACTATTATATTATAAAATGCTAAGTGTATGATTTCCATACTTTTACTTTTGAATTATATATAGAATTAAAGTACTAGAATTGCTCATACAGTATAAAGATTCTATCCTCAGAATGATAAATATGTTTGATATTCAAAATACACTTTATTCTTTTATGAGGCAGTCTTATTTTTTGTCAAAGGTCAACTTAGAATGTGACTATAATAATGGCTATTTTCAAAAATAAGTCTTTTCATAGCACCATTTGTTTAAAATTTGTTATTATAACATGTTAATTAGGAAGAAAAGCTGACAGTTTTAAATTACAAATTGAAATTTTATGCTAGAAGAATAAAAGAATATTGCTAAATCGATTGATACTTCATTAATTTTGACAGCAACAAAAGCCAAAAATCAACTTTGAATTGCAAATTAATCTAATAGAAATAAGGTGTTTTTTTATTATAGATAAGCATATTTAACTAGAATAATTTAGATAATATGTTAGAGGATATAATAAACATTTAAGTATTTATTATGTTAACTTAGCCACATTATACATATTCACATTATAAATTTATTAATATTTAATATATAAAAGTTTAGAAGTTTTTCTGTGTGGACTTCTAATCCAGAAGTGACAAAGAATGCCACAGGCATTCTATTAATAACATGGTTTTGAACTTTGCTAATATTACATGTCCAGTTCAAGTGAACTTCAACCTGATTGTGTGTGGGTGGGTGTGTGGCCTATGGTCACAGGGGACTTCCCAGTCTACTGCTAAGATTAGATTTGTCCTCGTGTCATTCTTATTAGGTGACTAATATTTGAATACTCTTTGCATAATTTATATCTGTTTGCGTACTTTCATTATTTCTTCAATCAGAAAACTAAACATTACATTTTAAAGTTTTTTTTTTCTGTGTCTTTTCCTTCCAGAGACAGTAAAACCACCACTTAATTATAAAATGACAAGTGCTTCGGAAAGTGAAAAGTCCAAGATAAGAGGGAAAGTTTGTGGACAGTGTGAGAATAAAGCTGCTCTGCTAGTATGTACCTTGTAATAATAATAATGATAATAATAATAATGATAATAATAATAATAATAATAATAGTGATAACTAGAATAAATCCTTTTGGTGCTTTCATAGGTTTCCCCCCTCACCTGCTTGGGTCGCCACGTTCCTCCTTACTTACTGTTAACTGAGAGCGAAGTGTTCATGCTGCTGCATAAGAACAGTCTTTACAGTGTGCTGAACCCTATCCTGTTATTCCTGTTTAAAGGCATCATCTAATTCTCACCTTCTCTTCTTTCCAACGTACCTACCGGCACGTGAGCATGCTGCGGTACTTCACATCTAAAATCAAAACCAAACTATAACAAAATTATTCCATGACCCACTCATCTTTCCCTGAACACTTTCAGCAAACTTCTGAAGTGCTGTCTATACTTTCTGTCTCAATGTCATCCTCTTCCATTTTTCTCGCTTTCTCATTGAAGTATAAATTGTTGTGAAATAGACATATTTTAAATGTACAATTGGAAACTTTTTAACAAACATACACTTCCCCTGAGATAACTAAATACTCTGAAATGTTCCCTTCAACTTTTCCAGTTAGCTTCCACTAGTTAGATAACTGGTGTTCTGATTTTCAGCATTATACGTGCCATGATGCTGATCTTGAACCTTCCATAAGTGGCATTACCTGTTTTATGTTTTTGCTTTTTTCTGGTGGCAGAGAGTTTAAGGATTCTTTTGCTGCACATGGACAGTCATCAATTTTTTCACATTTACAGTACTTGGTTCATTTGTATTGCTGAACACCACTCCATTGCATAGATAGTCCAAAATTTGTTCATTCATCTACATATTGAATACCCTCCCCCCCCCAGATTTCTTACTATTATGCTTAGGAACATAAAGGACATTGCTATGCAAGTCTTTTATTCCTCAAATGCCATTTATCCTTTCTTTTCAAGGGAAATTTAGAAAAACACACAAAATAATGATTTCTGACAGCTCTCTCATGGACACCAATTTTATGATCTTTAAAAGCATATGGTAAAGCACATCATCATTTAAAGACGCCAGCTTAACCACTTTCAGTGTCCAGTTCAGTGGTTAATTCCACTCACATTGTTGTATTACTATCACCACTAGATACACAGAACATTTCCATCTTGCAAAACTGAAACTGTGCTCATCAATCAGTAATTCTGCATTTCTTCTTGTTCTTGGACCCTGGCAAATTTTCTGTCTTTATGAATTTGACTGTTCTAGATAACTCATGTAAGTGTAACCACATGTTGTTTGTCACTGTCACATTTTACTTATATGACATAATGCAGTCAACGCTCATTCATTGCAAAGTTCGTATCAGAACTTTCTCTATAAAGCTTCACATAGTGCTGTGTGTGTGATTGTGCCACATTTTGTTTTATCTGTTTTTTCATTCATTCACTCATGGGCACTTAGTTTGTTTCCACCTTTTGGTGGTTCTGGATTATGGTACTATGTAGAGGGTTGTACAAATACCTGTCCAAGTCACTACTTTTATTTCTATGGAGCATATATCCAAAACAGTTTCATTTTCCCATTCAGTGTTAGATCTTCAGCAATATTTGATGTAGTTTTCCTAATTTCTATGACACTTCATTTGGCTACCTCTTGGCTGCCAATATTTCTTGATTTTTTTTTTCTTTGCTCATTCTTCTTGCTCAGTTTTCTTGTGGATTTTCTGTATTCTTAGCTCCTAACATTGGAGTGCCACAGAGCTGGGTCCCTGCCCTGGTGTCTCTGTACTCATTCTTCAGATAAATTCCGGAAGCAATTTCATTATTTTCTTAGCATTATCACTCGTTTATATAGATTGAATTTAGTTTTCCTCCCACCTCCAATATAAATTTCATAAAGGTAGATATTTAGTTTTGTTCACCGCACTCTATTTTTATAATTATGTCTGCAATTGTAGTAAGCACACAGACAATATTTGTGAAGTGAACCATTTCTTTGAACCTTTCATTTCAGTTAGCATTGGAGGTACTCTGTTATCTTTGCAATTTTAAAATATAACACATTTAGGAACCAGAAACCAGTTTTTCCCTGAAGGAATTTAACAATTATAAGTACTATTTGAATATTACATCATAGTTTCAGAGAATTTAGCCATTACCTCTTCCGATGTAAGCCTATGTTACCATCTTGTATCATCGCTGTTTTAACTTGGACTCAAGGAGAAGACTGAAAGTTTATTAAAGAGCTAAAATGACACTATTAAATGTTAAACAATAGGCTCTGGTATAATGTTCTTGAAATTACATCATACTACTTTCTTATCTGATATCATAGTGGACAACAATTTAAGAGCTCTTAACAAATAATACTTATCCAGAAATGTTTAACAAGTATAAACAAATTATTCTTGAAATTGAAAATGTGAAAGTTAAAAAGGAAACATTGGTTGAATTTTGGGGGTCCACTTTTCATGATCTGAAAAAGAATTATGAGTAATTTTCTTTAAAATCCTATTCTATGGCTAAAGGGCATGGGACTTGAACATGTAAAACATGTAGAAGAGATTTGACCTGGAAATAAAGGGTCTGCTTTTCTAAAGAATTAAAAGCAGGAAAAACAAAACAAAACAAAACAAAACAAAAAAAAACAAACAACTTTCTAGACAATAAATGCCATGCTCCTTGGCTGGAAAGCAGATTGATGATTTGCTTGAAAACTGTTGTAGAGAAACCAGGACATAGGCTCTAAGCATGCTAAGGAATTTCAAAGACTTTAAGAAAAGATACCTTTTAATTTTAAATGAAAATAAAAGTATTCTATGATGCTTATCAAAGTATAATGGTAAGTCATTTAAAAATTCAAGTTAAGCAGACCTGGGAAGCAGAATGTGGTATTAGACTCTGAGGTTTCCTGTGTTCTTAACTTCTAACATTCTAGATGGCAAAAGGATTGAATAGTTGTAGTAAATGACTTATGATAGAAATTTCATCAGGGAGATAGGTATTGAAAGTTTACATTTTGAAGAGTTGGAATTTCAACTTTATTGGTTATTAACTATGTGACTTTAGCAAATGACCCAATTCCTTTATATTTCTGAGTTTTCTTTTGTAAAATTAGAATAATGGAGATAAGTATAATATATATTTCAAAGCTACTGAAGTTAAAGAATATTATAGATAATTGTGCTTGGAATATGGAGAAGTGGCAATAAATTGCATCTTTATTATGTTTGCTAACATAATGTTAACATTGTTTACATTCTGATGCATTTACATTTATTGATGATAAAAATAAACACCTGAACTCTAAAATTTATTTTAGGCTGTATGTTCTTGGTAAAATTGGGGTAGATAATTAAAATTATATCTTAGTTTGGAAAATGCACATATTTAAGCACAAATGGATTCCAAAGACTTAGCACAACTATTCAAGCCTTGATCAAATTAACAAATGTTTGCTAATACTGCACTTGTGTGTTCCATTATTATAGAAAAATCTGTGGTGAAATGAAGTCCCTAGCAATTTTTAGCATGTTCCTGACAGTTTTACAGGCTGCCTAAAAAGATTTTCTAGTTGGTGTTCATTTTAAACAATTTAAATTATACAAATATTCTTATAACAAGCTATATAAGCTTTATGCTGTATCAAAGCAACTTGAGCTTTGATCTTCCAGTTTAAAATATCTAGCTAGTTTCACTACAAGTCTGTTGTTAGCAAATAATTTGCTTAGAACTATACACTTTCACTGATTTTCAGTTCTTTATATTACATTGTAAAAACAGTATCAATTTTCTGTAAGGAATTCATCAAACTATTGATAGATATATAAAATAAAATTTCTGTGGTATTTATACTGAATATAATAATAAACCATCATTTTGCAGTTTGTATTTTTGAAGTATGGATTTAGGTAATGTTTTTAATTATATTACTAGGAGATTAAAATTTCTTGAAGCATGCATTGGGACAGTGTTTCAGTGATTATTCAACACAGTAGTGATTTCACTTGTAAACAGAAAATCTATTCTCTCTATTTTCAGTCTTGTTTGGCACCATTTGTCATTACAAATTGTCATATTATTCTTTTATCACTATTTTAACACCATACAGAATTTTGAAGATAAATCATCCTTTTCCATAATCATTTCATTTGTTATAAGCATTGCTGCATATTATGATGCAGTTCCATTCAGTTTTCTTACATTCTTTCTGGTAAGGAAACTTCTGAAAATAATTTTAGAAAGTGTTTTTTGAAAATTACCAGTGAAGTAGTGACATTGAAAAAAAA